TAATAATAAGAATAAGAATACTAATAAGAATCATCATAATATGTACCGTTGTATGTGGTTTTACAAGCGAGGCTATGTTCTGCTTTGCACTGGGCTCTTTGGTTTCTAGGCAGCTGCTGACTTTGAACCCAACCGTCAAAGCGTCATAGGCACCAATGTTGACCAATAAGTCACGGTTCAGGGTTTAGGGTTTAGGGTGCACGAGTCATCGCTGTGACGGGCAGCTTGGAGGCACTTCAGAGAGACCTCGTTCAAAAAGGGTTTAGGGTGAGCTCTGTCACCCTTTACCCTCAAGAAAGAAATGAATAGAATTTGCTGGTTTCCGTTGGCCAATCCAATCATTGAGTTCAGCCCGCCTCAGCGCAGCCAGCTCAACCCAGGTTACAGAAGGGTGCAAACAAAAGGGCCGGGTGGGGCGGGACGGGCAGCGAAGTAGGGCGGGTTTCAAACTGGTAAAATCGAGTGGTCGGGCATCCGGAAACCTGTTTCGGGTTGGGGCACGACCTTTCCGTTGGGCGAGTTTCAAATCGGTAAAATCGAGTGGTCGGGCATCCGGAAACCTATTTCGGGTCGGGACACAACCTGTCCAATTTCTATAAACCAGCTTCCGTTTCAGGGTTAATCAAGTCAACCCAAACCCACCCGCGATAGCCCAACGCCCAACACAAGCCGCCCCGCCGGCCACCAGCTGCAGCCCAGTGCAGCCCCAGCCCAGTGCAGCCCAGCCCAGCCTGATCCTTGCTGAGCTGCCGGTCAAGCTTTGATGTTGGGGTCTTCATAATTATTGTTTTAGAACAGGGTTTTGGAGGTTCCTTATTTTATAATTATAGCATAATAAAACAAGCGGATGGAGCCGGCCTCTTCCCTAGGGATGAAGCCTGGAATGTGGATCCGGACCGCTCCAAGCGCCGCCGGTTCAGCAACCAGAATGGGATGGAGGCCGTGTGGACAGCCATGTGGGGCATCCTGCTCTCCAACCCGGAGACGGCCTGCTGAAGATCTACCGGGTGGGAATGGATTCCTGGAGACTTCGGCCCCGATGGCAGGGGATTTCTTGGGCGTCTATCTTCTTGTCTGGGAGGCGGCACTGCGCTGCCGGCCTCTAGGAGTGGACTTGAAGTCATGGGCCGCTTCCTCTTTTCCGAGCCTTTGCTTGGGCAGGTGCTCCTTTCCTTGAAGTCGGGCCAGCTACCGGGGGCTGGCAAAATTCAAACTCAAGTTCCAAAACACCAAACTCGGCCAAAACGTTTCGGTCAACACTAGTGCGCCCAAGCCCTGAACCTTAACAATTTCTATAAGCCCGGGATGTAAACCTTGGAGCCGAGAGCTTAAATCTTCACTATTACCCAGGGTGAAGCCTGCCAAAACCGCATCACATCAGGCGTGAAACCCTATAAACCCTAAAGGGTGTAGTGTGTTGCGCAGCCCTTCAGTCAGGCTTGACGTTTCGAAGCTTGGGAGAGAGAGAGAGGGTAATGTAGGGGCCTTGATAATTAGAATAGGGTTTTGGGGTCCATTATACTATAAATACAATAAGGAACCCCCAAAACCCAAAACCCAACACCCTATCCGCCAAAACCCTATTCAATTCTAATTACTACCTGTGACCCCAAACCCTGCAAAATAGTAGGTCAACCCCTTAATTAGAGGGTGGAACCCTTAAACCGGTAGGTTTTTGGATCTCCAGGTAAGGCCCCTACATTCGGGTTTCGGATTCCAAGCAGCTCGAACCCTGGGCCTGAAAAGCTCAGCGGCAACGAAAAAAAGCAAGAGAGCCCAATACCCCTTAAATGAGGAATATACCTTAAGTTACAGGGGCCCGAATATTTTAGGGTTTAAGGGATTGAATAAGGAATATACCTTACATGATAGGGGCCCGAATATCTTAGGAGTTAAGAAATAATAAGGAATATACCTCAAATTCTAGGGGCCCTAATATCTCAGGGTTTAAGGGTTATACCTTAAATTAAGGGGCCCTCATATATCAGGGTTTAAGGGGTATTCCTTACATTATAGGGGCCTCTGGGAAAAGCTCCTTTGCGGAGAGGCTTGGAACAGGCAGCAGGATCCCGGCAGCAGCAACTCGGCGCTACTCTGGCGGTGTGAATTCTGAACCCTACACACAGAACCCTACAGGGTTTAGGGTTTAGGGCAATAAGAAACCCTACCCCGAAAACGGCACACTTCGCCCATGCTCTACCATACTAGGCTATGTGGTCGTGGCTTTTGACACAGTTTTGTTGTTGCTGCTCCTGCTCCTGCTGCTGTGATCACCACATCGAAAGCACATCTTGTCAATGTGGAAGAACTCGGGGTCTGGGTGGATTCAGTGGGGAGTAAGTACCCGGGCATGGCATGTGGCAGCGCTGCAAATACGGAACCCGCTCCCATCAGGATCAACTTTCAGAATTCTCATGCTCAAGAACTCTTATTTTGGACCACACGGATCTCTTGCTTCAAGCTGGCCTCATTTGCGCGATCATGTTTTCACAAAGCACCTTTACAAGCCAAAATTCAACTTGAAGTGGGGCCGAAGGTTCTGCCAGGGACTTGCGCCGCGGCGACACGATCCTCAAGGTGAACATGGCCGAAGGCAGGTCCACTCTAGGGCCTAGGCGAAGTAGGTGACCTTAGGTAACCTTCGATTTTTTTGGGATTAACCTTTAGTTAGTTCCCCATACGGTACCGGACAACTAAGTTTGGAATGTTGTGAATGCGTAATGGAATGTGACGTAATACAACAATACAACCTCAAAATTGTGATATTGCGATCTTCGTAGACTCCGCTGCGGGGGTGATGATTATAGCTGTGGTTATCAGATGTACATGTGCTGACCCACAGCAGCGGGCTCAGAGAGATAGGTCGGTGCTGCCGCAGACTGGGATAACCGTAGAGCGGAATCCAACGCGATCCTGGCATCTTTCAGAAAAATACAGGCGGAACGGACCAGACAGCCAGACAGGTTCTGGAGTAGCCTGCAGTCTGCAACCAGAAGGTCCCCAGCATAGACACAGCAAGTGATTGAGTCCGGTGCAATGCGCCGATATCTGGCGTCGCCATGGGTTGAGGCCAATCTCCGGCACCTACCAAAGGGCGGGCGGGCGCTGGATATAGGCTGTGGAAAGGGGCGGCACTCGCTGCTTCTGCTGGATCTTGGGCTCGAGGTCACAGCTCTCGACCGCGATGCGGCGGTGCTCGCAGAACTGAGGAGCCGTGTGCCCCCGGAGCAGCTCCCTCGACTGTCAACGTGCGCGGAGGACGTGGAGGTTCAGGCCTCCCTCGCAGCCCTGCTGGGCCCACCCTTCGCTGTAGTATTAGTTGTGAATTACTTCTGCCGGCCCCTTCTACCACAGATTCTGGAGCTTGTGGCACCCGATGGCATCCTGATTTTTGAGGCCTGGGCTGAAGGTAACCAGCAGTTCGCTAAGCCCAGGTCTGCCCAGGTAGTAGAGCAACGCCTGCTCCGTGCCAACGAGCTGTTACAGCTGGCACTGCCGAAGTTTACGGTCTTGGCTTATGCAGACGGCCTTCAAGAGGATTACGAGGGCCGAGATTGTGCCAAGCAGATGATCTGCGCACGACGTCAAGAAAGCAACGGATCGGGGAAGGGAGGAGAGTCAGGTTGCTACTCCGCCATGCCGGATGACCCCTTAGCCTCTTTCCTAAGGCCCGGGGCATCAAGAGCTACACTTTTGGAGGATCCCGACTTTGGGCTCCGCTTCCGCCTCGCACGAGGCGCGCTGCCTTGGCTGGACTTCGATGTGGAGACGCTGCTCTCATCACTTGAAGACTTCGACCCGACAGCTGCCAGAAGCTCGCAGCTGGCACGGATGGAGCGGCGACTGCAGCATGGTGAGCAGGAGGCAGCACCCTCCGGTTCCCTTCCGCCCTTCAGCGTTACGGCGGTCCGGCGAAGAGCCAATGGCCAGCAGCTCACCACGGAGACGCTTGACAAGGATGCGGACATCCAAGAACTCCTGAAATCCACTGCGCTGCGGACACCACAAGACGTGCTAGAGCGTGGAGCAGGCTGGACCCTGGTGGTGAATCACTTGCAGAGCACCTCGCCGAAGCTCCAGGCGCTGCACCAGCAGATCTTTGCGCTCACCGGGTTGAGCGGAGGCATGAACGCTTACCTGACGCCCCCAGGTGCCATTGGAAAGCCTCCGCACGTCGATGATCACGACGTGCTCGTCTTCCAGGTGGCAGGCGAGAAAAAATGGATGTTGCTGGATGCCAACCGGGAGCTAAGGGAAGAGGTGGTGCTCCATGCCGGAGACGTGCTCTATCTGCCACAAGGGATTCCACATCATGCTGCCGCCCTTGAGGGTACGTCGCCGTCCCTCCACCTTGCCCTTGGTCTGCACCGGCTCCCTCTCAGCACGGCTTTCGTCCTTGCGGCGATGTTGACGGTGCGGGCAGGCAGGGAAGCCCACAGGCTTGAAGCGAGCAGACTTCGGTTGCCAAATTCCTTTGTGGAGGAGCCTTAAGGACGAAAAGAACCTTAAAAGTATAATAGTATAGGGGCCCTATATTCCCTTATACTATGAATCCTTATATGGTATATGAACCCGAAACCCTTTTAGGGCTCTTTTCGTGATTGAGGAGATGGAAAGTCGAGGTCAGGCTTTCGCCGCCTTCGGTACGCGAGAGCATTGGCTTCACCAGCTGCTGCCCGAACACCTTCGCCTCGTTGAAGCCTTGCACCCTGACGACTTGGCCCAAGAGCAGAGTCTGCTTGCTGGCATGGCCGCGAACCTTCGTGCTCGCGGGCGGGAGCTGGCGGAACTGATACGGGCCGCGAGCCCCTGCCCAGATCCCCGGAAAGCTCTTCTGCGTGCAGGGGCCGCAGGAAGTGACGCTGAGCTTCTAGAGGTCGCGCAGCTTCCGAACAAGGAGTTCATCGACCTGGCCCTGGATGCTTTCTGGGCACGACGCGAGCATGTGCTGGACCAGCACTTCGCCCAGCATGGGCCCCTTTGGGCTGAGAAGGCCACGGATGGTGCAGAATCAGGGCCCAGGCCCTTTCGGAAGCGCCGCGTCGCGGCTTTGCAGCGGGCTGGGATTCTGCGCATCAACGGCTTTCGCCTTGCACTCGAGGGCGCATCGATGGAAGCAGCCAGGCTTTTCCTGAAGGCTACGAGCCCCGGCCTGTCGGCGGAAGACCTTCCGGCACCCCTGCGCAGTGTGGGCTCGGAGGTTCTTCATCGGCTACGTGCCTGTGGGGCTTTGGAACCGGCAGACTGCCCTGCTTGAGCTCAGGGGAACACCGCCCCAAGATTACAATTCCAGGATTGTTGAATGTGGGGGTTTTCGAGAATAGGGGACCCTAATATAGTACCCCAAATAATAGGATCCTTATTATAAGGACCCCAAAATAAGGTACCCCTTACTTTCGGAAACTCCCATGTGTTGACGACTGAGGCTTTGGGTTGCTTTGTGGCTTCGGCCTGTATCGCGACGGAGTGTTTACGGGGATGTGGCTCTTGTCTTCAGATTTATTTGGGAGTTTCCAAAAATAAGGGGTACCTTATTTTGGGGTCCTTATAATAAGGGTCCTACTATTTAGGGTACTATATTATATTAGGGTCCCCTATTCTGGGAAACCCCCATTTGTGTAGGTTTTATTCTTTGTTCTGATGTTGGGGTGCACCTGTGGATATGGTCGTCTGATTGGAGTGCTGCTCTTAGAGGGTCTTGTGTCGGACTATGAAAGACTGTCATGCTTTTTCTTCAATCATGACTGCCACCTACACTAAATCTACATGCACACAGGTACACCCACATATACACACGCATCAATGCACGTATGCACTCCCCGCTACACACGTCCCGGCGACCAAATAAACAAACACACAAACACACA